AGATTACTGGTCTAATTAAGGAATGTGAATTTATCTTAAAGGGTGAAAATGAAATCACTGAAGATTTCTGAGCACAGCAGGGACGTTAAAGCAGTATTTTTGGAAAACGATTTAGCGATGCTATTCAAAATGGACTGAACACTAGAGTTTGGAAGGAGAAAGATGATTGAGGAGGTCAGTGCAATAATCCAAAAATAATCCAAAAATCCAGGTGCTATGAATGAAAATTAGTGTGGAAATGAGAACGAGAAGAAGAAACAAAAGCAACTGACCTGATCAGAGAAGAATGAACAGAATTTACAATGCACTTATTCACCAGACTGGTCTTGAAGGTGTGGGTGGGTGTAGGGCATTTGATTAACTGGTATGTGTTCTATGGTTACATCACATATCAAATTACCAGACTGTTTACCAGTCCTCTGGGAAAGCAGTGTTAAAGTACTACCACTACCCAAATAAACACAGTAGAGAAGTTAAAGCCGTGTACATAAACACATGGAATTCGGCTGCCTCATTCAAATCATAGTGCACCGACAATGGCCTAAATTGTAAGAGTTTAGTGACTGCTAGAAGGAAGCAGCAAATTAGACATTCTGCGTGGAAACATTTCAAATTTGTCCCAATCGACAATTACACTAAAAAATTAGCAACATTTTTGTTGTTGTTGTTCGTTTGTTTTTAATCCTCACCAGAGGATATTTTTCTATCTATCTTCAGATAGAGTGGAAGTGAGGGAGAGAGAAACGTTGACATGAGAGGGACACATCAACTGGTTGCCTCTGTACAACCCTGACCAGAGCAAGGGACAAACCGCAATGGCGGTACATGCCCTTGACCAGGATCAAACCCACAACTCTTTGGTCCACAGGCCAACGCTCTAACCGCTGAGCCAAACTGGCCAGGGCAAAATTAGCATGATTTTAAACACCAGGTAATACAAGCTCAGTCAGAAATATCTAAAGGTTATATCAAATTTTAGATCCTTAGAATAATTTGATGCAAAAGAGCTTCAGATAGTGAACTAGGATCGTTGTCCTTGTTGATAGACCAGAGGAGGGAAAGAGACAGGACAGATGAAGGAGAACACCTCTCACACGACTTCAAAATGTCTGTATATGGAAGCGGGTTTTTTTATATATATATTTAGTTCTTTTACTTTTGTTTTTTTTTTTTTCAAATTTGCACATACTCTGGGTTAAATAGTAACCGAAAGGCTTCTAATAAAAGCTTTGACCCATTCTTCTCCCTATAATCATATTTAAATAATTTATTGATTATATTAAAATCTTTAGAAAAATTTATTTTTTATTTAATATTTGTAGTCTGTATTTTTTTTAAGCTATAAAAACTGAAGAGTTACCTGTTTTATACCACTTCCAACCTAGTTTTCCCCAATCCACCCAATAGCATGGTATCTGGTGTTATGTCAGAAACTTCTTGTGCCAGATTTTAAGAGTCAATTGTTATAGCAATTTTGCAAACCAACTATTAAACACGGCCATTATTAAAAATTAAATTACACAATCCTGGCTGGTCTGGTTCAGCAGTTAAAGTGTCCATCCAAGGACCAAAGGGTCACAGTTTCAATTCCAGTCAAGGGCACATACGTGGGTTGCAGGTACCATCCCCAGCCCAGGTCGGGGTCATGCAGAAGGCAACCAATGGATGTGTCTCTCTCACATCAATGTTTCTCTCTCTCTCTCCCTCCCTCCCTCCCACTCTAACTAAAAATCAATGGAAAAATATCCTCAGAATGGGGTAGTCCCAAAGACATGGAAGTGGGGTACAGACTGACAATCCCCAGAAGAGGGAGTGGTGGGGGAGAGATAAACCACAGAACTTATATGTATGTGTGCATGAACAATGGACAACAAAGCTGGGGACAGGGTGGGGAGGGAGAGGGAGGGGGGAATCAGTGGGGGAAAAGGAGAAACATCTATAACAAAAATAAATTAGTTAATTAATAAAAAAATACCCTCAGATAAGGATTAACAACAAAATAAAGAAAGAACACAAACTTGTAGTTAAATGATGTATGTTAAAAACAAAGGTAATAAACATTCAAAACTTATACTTTCTAATTATGTTAACTACATTTTACTATTATCTATGTTGTTGAGATTACTTATATTTTCATTATAGAAATTTATTTACATTTAAAACACTTTTACAAACACCCTCAATGAATTTTTTAAAATCCTTTCTCATATTAACCCAGGTAATAACCCAGCTGGTGTCTACCTTCTGATTTCTATCTTTTTTCTTTTTTGTCCAGTTGCAGTAAAGCACTATTTATTGGGGGTTAGAGAGGAGATGCACAGAAAATGGTTACAAAAGTCTGAGGTTTTAAACATTGTGTGTATGTGTGTTGACACATTTTGTGTTGAAGTTAGGAAATTATGAGTCAAGTATATTATTTGAAACAAAATTAGTTTAACAATAATAACAAAAGTAGACAAAAACAATCTCCTACTGAGTTTCAAATGTTGACAAACTATATAAACTGGGGAGTACACTTTACTTTCCTGAATATGTATGAGTTAATCTGCATATCAAATAAAGGCTTTTATGGTTTATTAACAAAGTTAAATATTTTTTAAATGGAAAGTTACTATCTATAATGAAAAAATATTTCATTCACATCTTTAAAAATACTACAGAGATCGCCCTGGCCAGTTTGGCTCAGCGGTTAGAGTGTCGGCCTGCGGTCCGGAGAGACCCGGGTTCGGTTCCCGCTAAGGGCACGTACTTCGGTTGCAGTTTGTCCCCGGCCCTGGTTGGTCGTGTAGGTGGCAGCCACTCGATGTGTCCCTTCACGTCGATGTTTCTCACTCTCTCTCCCTTCCTCTCTCTCCCTCCCATTCTATCTGTACAAAAAATGGAAAAATATCCTCGGGTGAGGATATAAAAAAAAAAATACTACAGAGATCATTTTAATTCCCAGAAACAATCTGCTAAATAATAACTTATGAGTTTGCTCATCTTACGTGACAGCACTCTAGTTTCAGTAAATATACAGTTCACTGAATTTTCATTTGTTTAAAAAAAAAAAAACACTTGTATTAATAAAACAATTTCTGGTAATAAAATAATATAGATGTTAAGAGAAAACATACTGCCCTCGAAGCCTCCCTGTTTTAGAAAAAAAAAAAAATGTAGTAGATCAGCAGCAGACTAATTGTTTATAATAAAGAACCATGAGGTAACATTCTGCATCAATAAATCTCAAGCCATCAAATTGGTTCCCAGTATGTATCATGGTTCCTGTCTCTACCTCCATTCCAGTGACTGAGATCAGCCTTTTTATATTTTGGTAGTTTTTTAAAAATTAAACACATGTATTTGTTCTGCTAATAAAATATGCCTATAATTACTTTGTTTATAGAAAGATATCATCCATAAAAGACAAAAAAAAAAGACATACCACTTCTAAAAACTAATTGGACATGCACTTTTAATTATATACTGAAATGTTTAACAGGCTTAATTTTTCAGGAGCAGTACCATGTCCCTTCAGATACCAATCCAACAACTTCCCTTTTGTATAAAGTGTGCCTGTCAACCACTAACCCAAAGACTATCACTCCATAACTTAGGAGGCACTGTTACTATACTGTAGTCCTCTATGAAATCCAGTGTCTTTATATTAATGTACAAGTTCACTGAAATTAAGGATAAAAAGGGAACAGAGTAAAATTGAAAGTATAAAGGGAAGCTGGGCAGAATCTAATTTAATTTTCAGGGTTGGAATTATTCCAAGACTCCGCTTGCCATAAGGAAAGTGTCCTGGGATCTTTAATGACCACAAGTGGTCAGGATTCTGGTTTTACAGATCATCCAATTAACTGCCAAACACATCTTTTGCAATACCATTAAGTGACAGGGCTGGGGAATCCACTCTGCTAATTAAGAACTTGGGGCCTTGTGTTAGTTTCCCAGAGGACCTTTCAGGCTATGTGGGATTTGTACATGGCCACGTAAACATACATCTAATAAGAGATACTTCTATCATGGTTAGTGAACAAAAGAGACTTCAGTCATTTCTTCTCCACTCAGTTAGGGTTGGCCAATCTCAACAGCAGCACAAGTCAGACGAGGGTTGAAAAGTGTGGACTCTTGGGCAGTTTCTAGCCCCCCATTCCATCTCTTCATTATGGTTAAGTATATAATGTCCAAATTGCCTTACACAGTCCCACACGCTCCTTAGAGCAGGTCCTATTGCAGGACCTTAATATACTCTTTGGGATGGGGGAATCCTCATTTTCTCATATTCTTACATTAAAATGTGACTCTAACATCCTCAAGTTCCCTCTCTTTGACAGAAGCATAATGACACCTGCCATCTCAAAAGAAGTGAAGTCTGAGGAACAACCCTTAAATATTTTTCCCAAAGCGAAAAATAGGAAAGCTTCTTCAAAGAGGCTAGCTCAGGAGTTCCCAGAAGTCACTCCATTGACCAACTGCATTTAAACCACTTTTGAAGTTTATTAAAAATAGAGATCCCCAGGTTTCATTTCAGAGCTACTGATTCAGATGACAAAGGATGGGATCCAAGTATTTGAATTTTCAACAAGCCTGTGAGATCAGTCTGCTTTTTGAAAAACCACTGGACTCTGACTTCCTTTGGAGGCAAAATAACAAAAACCCATTGTGTGATTTTGAAAAGAAAACTTTGTCCGTATATCACACAAGCACACAATTTCTATCTCCCTTTTCTGTGCTTATTTTCTTTCTTTCGTGCCCCTCGCATTGCTTCTATTTTAGAGCCTATCATCTCAATTATCAAGCTTAATTTCTTTCTTGCCAGGAAGCTTTGTATAGAATTACTTTGGCATCTTATTAAAATTGATGCTAATTAACCCGACCATATTTATTTTCACACTCAGATAATATGAGTAATCCATGAGAGACATTGAACTTTAGACACAAGAGAAGTTAAAATGCCCATGACGCAAATAGAGGCATTAGAAAAAGATTATTGGACAATTTAAAGCTAACCGAATGCTACTTTTTCCTGTTATTGTAGCTGATGTTCCAACAAAACCGTCTGTTTTTAATTAGTGGGGAAGGAGATGTTTGAAGACATTGCAGAAATCTGGTACCACGGCAGCAAGAGTGGATGAAGATGGCCAAAACTTCCCAATGCGACTGAGGTTTTATTCATCTGTAAGCTGAGATGGTTGTGCTGCAGGGTCTCTAGCTGCCTTCTCACTCCAAACTGCCAGCAGTCCATGAATGAGCATAATACTTGAACAAATCCTCAGAAATTTAGCAAGAACATGAATGTGTAAAATTAGCAAAGTCACCTGTTCCTCTTAGACCTGGAAGAAAGAGGTAGGCAGCTTTAATAAAGGAACCCATGAAATATTTCTCGGCCAACTAGGGTAACCAATTGTCCAGGTTTACTCAGCACTAAGGGGTTTGCCAGGACACAGGACCTCCAGTGCTAAAGCCTGGACAGTCACAGCCAAAGCACGATGATTGGTCATCTTAAAGCAAGAGGATGAGTTTATGAGATACAAATAAACATTTTCTACCTTGTAAATGTAATTAAACGTCTGACATACTGAGAGGCAAAGCTGGAGCTCTTTAGATTTTGGACAGACGTCTGGGATATGACAAGTGACTTCCAGTTGCCTGAGGTATCCTAACCATGATTAGAACAAAAAATAGCATCTGAGCATGAAAGCACCTAAGGTATGATCTAAATAAAAAGCAATAGGGCACTTGAGAAGGAATATAGATAAACATCTTTATTAGAGAGGGATCTGGGGATAGTATTGTAAATAGCAACTGATTTACAACACAGAGCATTTTAAACTAAAGAGCCCATCAGAAAGCAACTTATTTAAGATCAGTCTAGTGCTTCCCAAATAGTTACTAAACAAAATAGCAATGATTTCCCTCAGAGGTAAACATGGGCCTGCTTAGCAATTATCCCTATTTACCTGGCTCCTCATCCTATATTTCTGACTCTCAGATATGCCCACTCCATTTATTTAGGCAAGAATTCAGATCCATCCAGAGAATATTTAAAGATTAATTCCTAAAACTAAGGAATTATTTTCATTTCACCTTAAAGTTATTATGAAAGATACAAGTATCACATGATCTCACTTATATGTGGAATCTAATGAACAAAATAAACTGATGAATAAAATAGATCCAGAGACATGGGAGCATGGAACAGACTAATATAAAAAAAAAATTAAAAAAAAAAAACATTAAATGGGTATGGAGTTTCAGTTTTGCAAGATGAAAAGAGTTCTGGATATGGATGATGGTAATGGTTGAACAAAAATATGAAGTGCTTAACGTCACTGAACAGTAAAACAAAACAGTCAAAATGGTAATTTTTAAAAATATGTTTTTATTTATTTTTTAAAGAGAGAGGAAGGGAGAGAGAGATAGAAACATCACTGTGAGAGAGATACTTGGATCCGCTGCTTCCTAAACATCTCCCACTGGAGACTGAACCCACAACCCCGGGCATGTGCCCTGATCGGGAATCAAACCGGGACCTCTCAGTCCATGGGCCCACACTCAATCCACTGAGCCACACTGGCAGGGCTTAAAATGCTAAATTTTATGCTATATGTATTTTACCACAATAAAAAATGTTTTAAGGAAAAAAAACAAATGTTTGTGTTTATATAATCTCCTAATTCAGAAAAGGACTCAGCTTTTTAGGAGGTGGTGATTATGTTAGCAGAGACAATAATATAACCTCCATTATGATTTATTAAAACAAAGTAGAGAAAAATACCTAATAACAATAGCTTGTTCCTAAATCCAATGGACTCATTTCAACCTGTTTTTTGACTGACTTCTCAGCCACATTTAACATAGTTTATCACTCCCTCCTTCTATATGATCAAAATAACAAACTTCTAACTATAAAATATTTCTAAATCTAATAGCGTAGTAGTGCCCTCAGCTTTATTGGAGCCTTAAGCAAAAGGAAAATCCAGTCATTCTGAGCTTGTCTCTATTTAAAAGTTTGATGTTTTGATCACATGGATCTTTTACATTAACTCGGTTGTTTTTAATATTGCATTGAGATATTATTTATCTTAATTACTGGGGTTTTGGGCACCCTCTCCAATTTTGTATCCTGAGTGAGTCCCAACCTTGAAAGGACTACCTTCCTATCACTTCTGTGACAAACCACAGTTCACTAGTTTTTCTGCCCTTTCTGGCCTCTCCTTCTCAGTCTTCTTTGCGACTCTTCCTCTGTCCACTAAATGTCAATGTCCTGCAAGGTTCTTTATAAGTATTCTCTCCTTTCTCTACACACACCATCCAAGTTATCTCAGTTATTCACATATTCTCTTGATTCTCATACTCTTTCTTCTTCACTTCCCCTTCCAACCACATTAGCATCCACATTGTATGGATAATGTAACCCTAATTTAACCCCAATTCTCTGCCTTTGTGGGTCAATCAATGCCTGTTCCACGATGCATTTCTGAAGACCACTTTCCCACTTCCACTGAAGTATTTCCTCCTGTCAAAATTTAAATCTCTGTACCCACTAAAACTGTCTCCCCATCTCCCTCGTGCCTGTCTCATATGCAGGGTATAGGAAGGGAGAGAAAGAAACAGAAAGCTTCCAGACTCTCCACTTTATTCCTCCCTCTACTTTATGCTCCAGTTGCTCAGCTCTGCCAAAACATCTCAGCTTCACAACTTTATACACAGTGTCCTTTCTATCTGCTCTATTTCCTTACTTTTACTAGCAAACTCCTACTTATCCTTCAGCCTCAGCCTACATATCCTTTCCAGGTAAACCATCTCTGACTTCTAGATTATATTAGGTTCCCGTTACGTGCACCGGTAGGATTCTGTGCTTTCTCTTTCACATCCCTCATTATGTATTATTATAGCTACATGTTCCGTTTTCTAGCTTCCCCAATGGACCACAAGCTCCATGAAGGCAGAAGCCATGTCCGTCCTGTTCACAATGATGCATCCAGCTCTGACACAGTGCAGGATGCATCAGCTACTCACTAAGTAATTATGTAAGGGAACAAGGACAGTCAGCGAGAATCAAACACATCTAAAAGAACCTGTGCAATCAATGAGCAATTGAGCAAATGAACAAAAGATAGCAAAAGGAAAGGTCACAAAGTCCAGCCACTATTAGGAAGCAGCTAAATAGAAACTCCCATTTTTTTCAAACTCGGGACCCATCTTTTTGCTAAATAACCAGGACTCCTTGCCCTCATGCTGTCTGTATAATAGGCAGAGCACAGTCTCTTTATTGGCTTTGGTGACCTGGGGCCACTGAAATCTTGGCAGATCCCTGCAGGGCCATCTGGCCTTTAGCATCCCTCCTGAAACTCATTTCTTCTCTCCTGTGATCAAATGCTCTACCCAGTGATCTTTTCCAGAATGTAGGGTTTTACTTGTTTGCCGGTTATTGTACTTCATCCGCGTATGGCTTCACATAGCAGTAGGGAAGAGATTCAAGTTTGCCAGATCCCAGAAGCTCACCATGATGTTGGGAACCCCTACTTAACATAGTTATGTTCCTAATACTTTTCAGAAAAGATTATGCTGACCAAACAGGATGCTCATATTATAGAAATTGTTTGAAATCAACACTCACAGTTTCATTGGACAATTTGGAACAAGTCTGGTTCCATAGATTAAAAAAAATAATAATTGCCTAACTTTAGCTTAAAACTTATACGGTATATGTAAAACAAAAGTCAACAAATTCAAGCTGGAAAAGGGAGAATTTGGTTTGGGGGACTTCACTGAAGACTACAGGAGAAGAGACATTTCTCTTCCTGGGAGAATGAAGACTGTCACATGACCTGGACATGTACACAAACACCCAGCTTCTTATAATCCAAAAAAGTGCAAAAGAAAAATAATTAAAACAAAACAAAACAGAGAATAGAGAACTTCATTAACTTCGCTGTGTGTGGTTAATACTCCCTATTAGCATATGGAGATTTGTCAGAAAACACTGTTAACAGGGCTTCCCCTGACCATTTATCCTTACATGTCCTAAGATGAGACTTCACATAGTTTATAAGCCTCTCTAACAGATTAACATAATCTATAAAAATACTACAGCCTAAAATATTATCAAATGGTAAATCTTGAAAGCGTTTTTGTTTTTTCTATATCACAGTAAGCATGAGCCCCATTTAATAAATGTGATGCCAAAAATAGATTCACACTGCTTAGTGTTTGGAGAAGGAGCTTCTATATGTCACTCCACACTGCAGAGGCTCTTTACCAAATGTAAGTACTTTTCCAATCCATTTTCCCCGGGATCTTTCCCTTGGAACATCAATATGTGAGCCAAGAGTACTTAGATACAGGCAGCAGGAGACACCCCGATATAAGACTTGATACTCTGACTGCCTTCCAAACTGCAAAGGATAAAGCTCCCTTGCAGAGGGGCACTCTGCTTCATTATTGTGTGTCCCACTTGACTTTTCTCGCAATGCCATGTACTCATATTTTTCTTCCCATTAGAAATTCATAATGGAAATTGGTGTACCAAAAGATATGAGGGACACATTTTAGATCTTTTCCCTACTGAGATCCTTTTCAACAGCCTGGCTGACTTTTGGTGCCAACAGCAACTGCTGGTTAAATCATCTAATCAGCCAGGATGAGGCCTTTTGTTCTGCTTTTGTGACTTCATTTCTTTCTTTCTTTTATTATTTTTTTTTTTGAACATTTAGAGTTGCCAACAATTCCAAATGGTGTCCCATTACTTCTCTTCAATTTGTTTCCATGTGAAGATAAAATAATTGTATCTAGATCAAATTATGAGATGCATAACTGGCCCACCGTTGTAAGGCCTACAAATAGATATCTCCTGACTATGGTTTGGAAAGGAAAATGTTTACAATTAAGCCACAAAAGGGAAAAATGCATCTCCACACTCTTTTGTTACCTATATTCATCATCAACAATAGCAATGAATTATTGAGTACCCACCAGTATCACAAGAGGAACTCTGGGAGTTTAAATTGGTCAAGCTAGACGTATGCAGTTTATCACTTTAGAACAAGGTCAGACATTTGCTTACAGAAACAAAAAAAGCTTTTCTGTTTCTAACTATTTATGATTGTAATCCGTTTTTTTTAAAGGAAAAAGGTTAGAATGCAAAGCTCTTTGTTTTGCTTGTTTCCCATACATGACTTTTTGACTTACAGTAGATCAAGCATTGGTGCTCAGGTTTACGGCCAGGGAGGTTATAAAACACGTACTGACGTCTGTAAGAAGAAAAGTAACAATTACTTGGTGAATCTCAAACAATATAACAATTTTTATCGAAAGTATGATACCTCCTGATACCTAAGTCCATATAAGAATCCCTTTATTTCTTCTCTTCTTGCCCCCTTTTAAGTATCTATTTTTGTTACACTATTTTCAGATTTCTGCACTCTTATTCCATTAACTAGCAAAATAATAAAGATCAAAGATTTATTAGAAAATATGTAGGAAATTTGACTCAGCAAACCTCTGTAAGAACTCTTAGAAGACTATCTATCCCTAACCTTTCAACTGTGATTTGAAATATATAAATACGAATACTCATTTAAAATGTTTGTTAAATAAAAAAGTCCTTTGAAGAAAATTTAGGAAAAAAAGATTCCCATTTAAATATAAAAATAATTTATTGAACTCCATCAACCATAACAATCTGAATTATCTTAAGAAAACTCATACTTAAAATTGGTCTCGCCCTGGCCAGTTTGGCTCAGCAGTTAGAACATCAGCCTGCATCCTGAGAGACCCGGGTTCGGTTCCCGCTAAGGGCGCGTACCTCGGTTGCAGTTTGTCCCCGGCCCTGGTCGGTTGTGTGGGTGGCAGCCACTGGATGTATCCCTTTCACGTCGATGTTTCTTTCTCTCTCTCTGTTCCTCTCTCTCCATCCCACTCTACCTGAACAAAAAATGAAAAAATGTCCTCGGGTGAGGATAAAAAAAAAAAAGGTATAAAATTGGTCTCAGTATAGAAATTATGGCCATATTATCCTTATTTACAGACTGCCAGTTTCCCTTTTACATGTTTACATTATCTTGTATCCTTTAATGAAATCATCTTTTTATTTCCTTACTGACTAGATCTACATGTGGCCTACATATAGTCCTTAAGGATTTAATAGTTATTGTACAAATGCCATGAATATAATTCATGTATCTTAGTTGTTATTACAGATATAATAGCATTTGGGAAACTCTTTGCAGAATGCATGCAGTTTTGGAAAACAGATATAAAAGTAATATTAGGAGCCTGGTCCTGACAGAGATATGGAGTATTTTCCAAAGCTCTTATCTCTTTATTTTCTACCCCTGTGAAAGAAATGAAAATTTCAGAATGCCCAGAGAATAGAGAGAATAAGAACTCTGCCTGTAGAAGGACCATGACCCACTGCTGGCTTCTTGAGAGTTTGGGGCTTAACCAACATACCCCTCAGCTCATCCTCAGCATTTGTGCATCATTGTTCAAAACATTTCCACAATGAACAACCATCTGTGTGAAATTGTGTGTTGAATACCACCCCAGTTTGGCACCACCTCCTTCTGTGTCTCTGGCCAGAAGCATCACAGCCACTGTTTGTCTTAGTAGAGCCATTTGAAATAATCAATATCTGAGTAACCCCTACGAATTATCTGAGAATTAGAAAGGGAAAACCACTCTAAAGAGGTTCCCATTCTACCGTTAGCCTTAGCATTTGTCCCAGCAAAGGATAAACCTTGTTTGTTTGTTTTTTAATAGCATCTTTGTGTATTCGGCTAAAGAATGGCTTCAAGGAGTATTTATACAACATGGGTTTTATGAGAATGAAAATGGAGTCACTGAAATCTCTCAAGCTATAAAGTTTCTCCCTGAACCTGATAGTCTATTACTGTTTTTATCTGCATTTCTAATAAAAGTTTTCATTCAGAGATGGGTTCAACAAAGAGTTGGACAGGTTCATGCAGGCCTTGAAGAAGTTAAAACACACATATGATGATCACCTCCTCCCACAACAACATCAAAGTTACAACTAAACTACAGAACAACCATCATTCAAAACTGCCTGAAATCAAGCTGAATGGAAATCCTACAGCTACAAAATTAAAGAAGTGGCCACATCGAGACTGCAGTCAAGACTCAATTACAACAGAAGGGTGTAAAGTCCACACAAGGGGTGCACCTTGAGGGCCCAGCTGGGAGATCAGGGAGGCTGTGCCACGGAATCCTACAGGACATCTACTGCAACAGGCCACCCTAGAATGCCCAGGAGACATAGTAACTCTACCTAATATATAGAAACAAACACAGGGAGGCAGCCAAAATGAGGAGAAAAAGAAACACATCCCAAATGAAAGAACAGAACAAAACTCCAGGAAAAGAACTAAGCGAAATGGAGATAACCAACCAAACAGATACAGAGTTCAAAACACTGCTTATAAGGATGCTCAATGAACTTAATGAGAACTTCAGTGAACTTAGTGAGGGCCTCAAGAGCATAAAAAATGAACAGTCAGAAATGAAGGAGGCACTAACTAAAATAAATAATAATGTACAGAGATTCAATAGTAGAGTAGGTAAAGTCAGGAAGCAAACCATCAATTTGGAATATAAGGAAGCCAAAAACACCCAATCAGAACAGCAACAACAACAAAAAAGAATCTAAAAAAATGAGGATAGTGTAAGGAGCCTCTGGGACAACTTCAAGCATACCAACATTTGTATCATGGGGGTGCCAGAAGGAGAAGAGAGAGAACAAGAAATTGAAAACCTATTTGAAACAATAACGGCAGAAAACTTCCCTAACTTGGTGAAGGAAACAAACATACAAGTCCAGGTAGCACAGAGTCCCAAACAAGATGAACCCCAAGAGGACCACACCAAGACACACCATCATCAAAATGCCAAAGGTTCAAGACAAAGCGAGAATCTTAAAAGCAGCAAGAGAAAAGCAGTTTGTTATCTACAAGGGAGTTCCCATTAGGCTGTCAGCTGATTTCTCAAAAGAAACTTTGCAGGCCAGAAGGGAGTGGCAAAAAATATTCAAAGTGATGAAAAGCAAAGACCTACAACCAAGATTACTCTATCCTGCAAAGTTATCATTTAGAATCGATGGCCATATGAAGAGCTTCCCAGACAAGGAAAAGCTAAAGGAGTTCATCACCACCAAACCATTATTATATGAAATGTTGAAGGGTCTTCGTGAAGAAAAAGAAAATAAAAAATATGAACAAACAAAATAGAATGAATACATATTTATTGACAATTGAATCTACAAACACAATGAACAAACAGAACAGAAACATTCTCACAGATACAGACAACATTTTGTTGGTTGCCAGATGGGAGGAGGGTTAGGGAAACGAGTAAAAAAGGTGAAGGGATTAAGAAGTACAAATTGGTTGTTAGACTGACAAACCTCAAAGGGAAGGTGGGGAGGTGGGAAGAAATAAACCCAAGAATGTTTATGCATATATTCATAACTAATGGACACAGACAACAATGTGTAAAAAGGCAGGAGGGGGTGGGAGTGGGGACGAGGAGATCAATAGGGGAAAAAGGAGGAACATCTGTAATATATTCAACAATAAAGATAAGTTAAAAAAACACACACACACGCCCTGGCCAGTTTGGCTCAGCGGTTAGAGCGTCGGCCTGCGGTCCGGAGAGACCCGGGTTAGGTTCCCGCTAAGGGCACGTACTTCGGTTGCAGTTTGTCCCCGGCCCTGGTTGGTCGTGCAGGTGGCAGCCACTCGATGTGTCCCTTCACGTCGATGTTTCTCACTCTCTTTCCCTTCCTCTCTCTCCCTCCCACTCTATCTGTACAAAACATGGAAAAATATCCTTGGGTGAGGATAAAAAAAAAAAACAACAACACACACACATGTGAAAAGGCCATCTTAAAATATATTTAATGCAGTAAAACTATTGAAGTTACTCTTATAAACTATATTTCTTTCTTTTCTTTTTTCTTTTTTTTTTTTTTTTTGGCGAGAGAGGGGACAGGAAAGAAAGATAGGAATATCAATGTGAAATAGAAACATCATTCAGTTGCCTCCTGCACACCCCCTACTGGAGATTGAGCCCACAGCCCGGGCATGTGCCCTGACTGGGAATCGAACCAGGACCTCTTAGTCCATGGGACAACGCTCAATCCACTGAGCCACACCAGCCAGGCTAGACTATATTTCAACACAATTTTATATTCCAACATTGATAATGCTCTTAGAAGATGTTAGGATACTGAATAATTCCCTTGAATTAATACAGAATTCTCAACACATCAAAAAGTCCATTTTGCCTTTGAAGCAGGACTGGAGAATCTTCTACGTAAGCTTGAGGTTATAAGAGCTTTACAGTAACTCCCTCTCTATCCCTCCTTAAACTGAGAGAGAGAATTCCAGCCAAGAAACAGAGGCAGATCCCCATTTGGACTCCACTACCAAAATAAAGGGATATGCATTCAAGTAAGTAATAATTATTACTCATAACCAAGATGAACAGAAGACTTACCTTGTGACAAGCACTGCACTACAAGACTTACATGAATTGCTTCGCTTAATTCTCAAAACAGTTCTATAAACTTTTCATGATTTGAGGTTTAGAGAGTTTTTAGAGGTTTGGAGAGTTATGCCAAGTTCACACGGCTACAAAAGAGTGGAGCTAGAACTTCCGATCAAGATGGCAGCATAGGTAAACACGAGACTCCCTCCTCCCACAACCACATCAAAATTACAACTAAACTACAGAACAACCATCATTCAGAACCTGAAAATGAGTGGAATGGAAGTCCTACAACTATGAAATTAAAGAAGCCACATCAAGAATGATAGGAGGGGCGGAGGGGCAGACGGGCTGGTCCCACACCTGCGTGTGGCAGATAAAAATCAGGAGGCCACCTCAGCTGGGAAGACCCTCCCTGAGGAGTGAGGGGTCCCTGTCCTATACCAGGTTTCCCAGCTCAGGGTTCCAGTGCCAGGAAGAGAAATCCCCATAACTTCTGGCTGGAAAAACCAGCAGGAACTGAGGCTGAGGAAAGCTAAGGCTGCTGGAGCCCCAGGCAGCTCCTCTTAAAGGATACAAACATGGACTTATGTGGACTCACTCCCTCAAGGCTCCAGTGTATGAGGGAGGCATCTTGAAAGGCACTAGAAACATATGGAGAAGAACTGAGTTATTTAGCATCGGGGTGAAAGCTGAAGAGGCAGATTTCTAATAGACAGACATGCTGGTGGAAGCCATTGTTCTTTTGGTGAGCCCTTCCCCCATGGGCCCAGCAGATAGGCATCATATCTGGAACTCCAGCAACCTGGCTCACACCGTTGTCTCTGCCATGGTGATCCCCTGAGGCCCTGCCCCACTCAACTTTCAAGTCCAACCAAGCTGTTTCCAATGGCTTTACAATAGAATTGGCCTGTCTTGGCTCCTGCTTCAGATTTTACTAAATTCTCTCAAACAAACAGCACCTCACCTCTGTGAGCCCCATTCCTCTCACTAAGAGGCCCCCAGCCTGGCACTAGTAGCAGCCAAACTTGGTTCACAAATTAGCTTTCCCTGGGCACCTTCAAGCCCAGCACAAGAAGTGGCCATCTGTAGATCACTTTGTAGCTTATGCCAGGGGTCCTGGATAGAACACAGGCAGTGGCTGACCTTGTCCCAGAGCCAGTATATCCAGTGGACAACTTCATATCAAAGCACCACCACCCAACCACCTCCACAAGTGATACACTCAAGGAGTAAACTCAGTGGGTACCAGAGCCCTGTTGAAGTAAGTCTTGCTCTGTGTGGTGGGCCTCTGCATAGCTAATTTTCCAAAGTAGTCAGAGGTCAGTGGTCAGTGGGCACAGCCAGTCCTTATAGCTGATCAGTTTGAGTAAATCCCTCCCATTGATGTGCCAACAGCAATCAAGGCTCAATTACAACAGAAGAATATACAGTCCACATGAGGGGTTCACCTCGAGGACCAGCTGGGATGGTCAGGGAGGCTGTGCCACTGAACCCTATTGGACACCTACTGTAATAAGCCACCCTACAAAGCCTAGGAGTCATCGCAACTCTACCTAATACATAGAAACAAACACAGGAAGGCAGCCAAAATGAGGAGACAAAGAAACATGTCCCAAATGAAAGAATAGAACAAAACTCCAGGAAAAAAACTAAATGAAATGAAGATAAGCAACCAAACAGATGCAGAGTTCAAAACACTGGTTATAAGGATGCTCAAGAAACTTAGTGAGAACATCAACCACATAAAAAAGAACCTGTCAGAAATAAAGGATGCACTAACTGAAATAAAGAATAATTTACAGGGAATCAATAGTAGAGTAGGTGAAGCCAAGAAGCAAACCAAGAAGCAAACCATTTAGAATATAAGGAAGCAAAAAACCCCCAATCAGAATAGCAAAAAGAAAAAAAGATTTTTTAAAAAATGAGGATAGTGTAAGGAGCCTCTGGGACAACTTCAAGCATACCAACAGTCACATCATGGGGGTGCCAGAAGGAGAAGAGAGAGAGCAAGAAATTGAAAACCTTTTTGAAACAATAATGACAGAAAACTTTCCTAACTTGGTGAAGAAAACAGACACACAAGTTCAGGAAGCACAGAGAGTTCCAAGCAAGATGAACCCAAGAGGTCCACACCAAGACACTTCATCATCAAAATACAAAAAGTTAAGGACAAAGAGAGAATCTTAAAAGCAGCAAGAAAAAAGCAGTTAGTTATCTACAAGGGAGCTCCCATAAGTGTCAGTTGATTTCTCAAAAGAAACTTTGCATGCCAGAAGGGAGTGGGAAGAAATATTCAAAGTGATGAAAAGCAAAGACCTACAACCAAGATTATTCTATCCTGCAAAGCTATCATTTAGAATTCATAGAATATAAAGAGTTTACCATGCCCTAGGAAAGAAGAGAGCTTCTGTTTCAAAGTAACTATTTGGCATATCAATTAGAAATAGATATATCAATTGTAGTACATTCTCAAATGTGATCTCTCTAGAAGTTAAAATTAACAAATTTTATCTAATGTGTCAACATGGAAAACAAGTTTGAATCCAGAAATCAATGGCATTTTTAGACACCAATAATGATCTCTCTGAAAGAGAAACTAAAAAAGAACAATCACTTTTACTATTGCAACAACAACAACAACAAGATACCTAGGAATAAACTTAACCAAGGAGGCAAAAGACCTGTCTCAAAAAACTATGGGATTTTAAAAAAAAGAGATAGAAGAATATACAAGCAAGTGGAAGAACATACATTATTCAAGAATTGGAAGAATTAACATTAATAAAATGTCCATACTACCCAAGGTAATCAATAGATTTAATGCAATCCCTATTAAAATACCAATGGCATGTTTCATAGATCTAGAACAAATACTCCGAAAATTTATATGGATCCAAAACTAAAACCCCAAATAGCCATAGCAATCTTGAGAAAGAAGGACAAAGTTGAAGGGATCACAATACCAGATTTCAAGTTATACTACAAAACCTCTGTAATCAAAACAGCCTGGTATTGGCACAAGAATAGGCACATAGATCAATAGAACAGACAAAGAACCCAGAAATCCACCCAAGACAGTATGCATAATTGATATTTGACAAAGTATGCAAAAGCGTACAATGGAGTAAAGACAGTCTCTTCAATAAGGGTGTTGGGAAAATTGGACAGGTACATGCAACAAAATGAAACTAGACCACCAGTTTACACCATACACAAGAACAAACTCAAAATGAATAAGAGACTTACATGTAAGTTGCAAAACCATAAAAATCCTAGAAGAAAATGTAGGCAGCAAAATCTCAGACATCTCACGTAGCAGAATTTTCACCAGTACATCACCTAGGACAAGAGAAACAAAGAAAAAAATGAAAGAAATGGGACTACATCAAACTATAAGCTTCTGCACAGCAAAAGAAACAAGCATCAAAATGGAAAGAGAACCAACCTGGCCAGTTTGGCTCAGTGGTTGAAGCATCAGCCCTCAGACCCAAGGACCACAGGTTCAATTTCTGGTCAAAGGCATATACCTGGGTTGCAGGTTCAATTCCCAGCCCAGTTGGGGTTGTGCAGGAGGCAACCAATCAATGTGTCTCTCACACATCAATCTTTCTCTCCCTTTCTCTCCCTCCCTCCCTTCCACTCTATCTGAAAATCAATGGATTAAAAGGTATGAAAAGGGAACCCACTGTGTGGGAGAACATATTTGTAACTGATAAATAGGATAAAGGGTTAATGTCCAAAATATATAAAGTACTCATGTAGCTCAACAAAAGGAAGACAAACAATCCAATTTAAAAATGGGCAGAGTACCTGAATAGACATTTCTCCAAACAGGACATACAAATGGCCAAGAGACAAGAAAAAGGCTCAACATCACTAATCATCAGAGAGATGCAAATTAAAACGACAATGAGGTGTCACCTCACACCTGCCAGAATGGCTGCCATCAACAAATCATCAAACAAGTGTTGGTGAGTGTGAAGAAAAGATGACTCTAGTACACTGCTGGTGGGAATGCAGACTGGTGCAGCCACTGTGGAAAATACTATGGTGCTTCCTCAAAAAATTAAAAATTGAACTGCCATTTGACCCAGTGATTCCACTTCTAGGAATATATTCCAAGAATACTAAAACATCAATCAGAAAGAATATATGTACCCCTATGTTCATAGCAGCATTATTTACAATAACTAAGATCTGGAAACAGCCCAACTGCCCATCAGTGGGTGAGTGGATAAAATAAAAGCTGTGGTACATTTACACAATGGAATACTACGCAGCTATAAAAAAGAAGGATCTATTACCCTTTGAGATAGTATGGAAGAACCTGGAGAGTATTAAGCTAAGCGAAATAAGTCAGTCAGGGAAAGATAAATATCACATGATCTCACTTAATGTGGAATCTAATGAACAAAATAAACTGATGAATAAAATAGAAAAAACAGAAAACAAGTTTGAATTATCAAGTCAGAATATGTTATGTACTCAATATAATTTGCTTAAATTTTTTTTTTTTTATCCTCACCCGAGGACATTTTTCCATTTTTTGTTCAGATAGAGCGGGAGGGAGAGAGAGGAACAGAGAGAGAGAGAGAGACATCGATGTGAAGGGACACATCGAGTGGCTGCCACCCGCACGACCAACCAGGGCCGGGGACAAACTGCAACCGAGGTACATGCCCTTAGCAGGAACCAAACCCGGGTCTCTCTGTACCACAGGCTGACGCTCTAACCACTGAGCCAAACCAGCCAGGGCAATTTGTTTAATTTTTAAACCTATAGAATAATATCATGTATACATATGGATACACATGTAAACACAATGCATAAAGCATTGCTGGGAAGGAAAGACTGTATCTCAGGAACAGTTACTTCTGAGAGGCTTAAGGAGTTATGGGCTGGGGAGAAGTAGAGGACTTTGGCTACATCTTGTAATATTGTATTTATTTCTAAATATCTTTTTTTAATCAATTAATTTTTTTTATTACAGATGGCCCTCCTTTTTTTTACCATTTAAATCCTCCTCCCTGCTTCCCCTGCCCTCTGTATTTCAAAATATCTTAAGATGGTCAAATGTTCACATTTGTTAAATGTAGGCACTGGTTATATTAGTTTCTGTAGATTCCTGAATGTTTGAAATAGTTTATCAGTTCATCTGCCCTACAGAGGTGGAAAAAGTTGTGAGAAATAGGTAATTGTGTGTTGTGAGGTGTGAAACGTGTTTATACATAATTTACACTCTCTTTCTGAGGAAAAAGAAAGAAGGCCATGGGGAGAGCTAGACCAATCACTGGTTAAGGCAAAGAACATGGAGCAGTCCGGTGGCTATTCTGAGAGGCCTGTTGGGGAGGGGGAGACGTCAAGGATGGTAGACAAGGCATGGGAGGAGAAAGGGAGATGAGAGGACAGTGTGCTGAGGGCGGAGCTGCAGGTAAATACCTAGTCTGAAACCGGAACTGCAGCTGGCTGAAAATGCAGGGTGTGTCAGGGCGGGCGCTGGGACCCAGACACAGCCAGGGTAGGGAGAAGGAGGAGCCAGCCACCTTCATCCTCCTACAGACACAGGATCTCTTAAAATGAACTGCGGTACTTGAAACTTAGGTTTCACATGTATACAACTATGTCTGATTAACTGGGGGAGCCTCAAACAAAATGAGATGTATGACAGACAACAGAAAATTTACCAAAGGGAGCAAGGTATCTGGTCCAGTAACTCAGCAAAAGGACCTAAGGGGTTGGAAGGCAGTGAATTTAGCAGCTGGTAGCAGAACCCAAGCGCACCCAGCATCCCAGCACCATGTGTGAGCCCTGGGCCTCTGAATTAACAGCTATCTCACAACTTTGAAATTCTGGGGCACAAACCTTCCCACCATTTCCAAAACGAAAGAAAGAAACGTTCTGTCCAGCCAGTGTGGCTCAGTGATTGAGCATCGACCCATGTACCGAGAGGTCACAGGTTCCATTCCTGGTGAGGGCACATGCCCAGGTTGTGGGCCCAAGTCCCAGTGGGGGGCATGCAGGAGGCGGCCAATTGATGTTCTTTCTCATTGATGTTTCTATTTCTCTCTTTCTCTCCCTTCCTCTCTCTCTAAAGTCAGTAAAGAAGAAGTTAAAAAAAAAAATGATGTTTAAAAGAAAGAAAGAAAAAAAAAAGGAAAGAAATATTCTATTTTCTTTATCCTCAAAAACAAAACTGGCTCAGATATTAGCAGGGATCTCAAATAACAAGGTGTTGGTGGCAGTGAGGTCCCCGCTCACCGGGCTCAAAGGCAGCTGCAGCGTCGGACTCCAGACAGAGTTCCAGGTGGAAGTCCCGGCTCCAGGAGAAGCTGTGCAGTTCAACTCAGAAGAAAGCACTGTGTCTAACTTCCTGTGCGTTCAGGCCAACCAAGCCGTTCTCGAACCCTTTGTCTGCATTGTAACACAGAGCAAAAAAGCCCTCTGTTCCTCATTTTGCACAAGCGCCATTGGCGGAGCACAGAGACGAGAGCCACACCGAGGCGCGATGGCAGCAGCTGGCCTGCGGGCACCAATGCGGCAGCAGCACCGAGCCTTTCGCTGGGGTCTGCAGCCAGACCGCAGCAGCAACAGCACAGTCCCGGTCTGGCAGCTGTGGCAACCCGGTCTTGGAAGCCCCAGTGGTGAACTCTAGCCCGGACTCTGCATGGATACATTAAAAGCATCTTGTGGGGGAATTTCCACAATGTGGAGTAAGGGAACTCCCCAAAAACTGTCGTGGGTAGGTGGGGTGCAGAGCAACTGAGATGCGAATGCTTTGGGGCTCCCAGGGAGCGAAAGGCTGAGATGTTCTAGTCACCATAACTCGCTGCTGTGAAAGACAGCATGTCTATGAAAGATGTGTGCTTCGGAGGAAACATAATGGCATAAAACACATTTGAATTAGATCATTCTTCCCAATGTTTCTGCAGCCCTCTAAGATATGGAATCTGCTAAGAGAATATTTGGTTAAGAAAAGAAGGAAGGGGAAGAAGGACAAGAGGGAGGAGGAAACTGCAAATGATCAAATATATCTGTGAATATGTCATGATGGCAATCTCTTCCATTATAAACTATGAGAAATATAATCCTGGAGCCTGTTTTCAGTGGCACTTTGTGTAATTGCTAAAATTTTAGTCTGAAGCCTGATAATAAAGAGAAAAGGTGCCGGCAAACCCCCAGCAGAGATGGCTAAGTGTATAAATCGGGGTGAAATGAGGAAGAGCTGAGTAACAGTGACCACAGAGTTGGTCTCCAATCTAAGAATGCCCCCAACTCACTCCTGAACACCTAGAAGCCCATCGCACAGCAATCCTGAACTCTCAAAGCATTTGAATGCGTGAGGAAAGAACAAACAATGGGAATGAGAACAGCAGGGGTGTGGAAACATCTGAGATAATTCAGATAAGATGTTCAGATTTGTCCAGCAACATACGTAGCCACTTGGAAAAGGAAGATAGTCAGCCTCTTATATGTCCCAAAGTTGAGAAGCCTTTTAGACGGCTGGTTTGTTGAAAGTGCAGGTACCCTTACTTACCCAGCACTTTGCCCATCTCAGGAATCATGCTGTCTTCCCTGAGAGCTCCTCTCTGGCTTAAGAGGTCCCATCAGTTGACTTCTGATAGTGTGCCAAAGGGAGAGAGCACACTGCCCCCAGAGGGCCCAGCCTCGCCCCCTGAAGAGGGCATATGGGACACATGTGGGCTGTTTCTACCTTCCTGAATCTTGCAGGGGTATAAACACACAAGCGTCACAGCAAAGGATCACATGGGGACCAGAAGGGACGCACGAATGCTGCACTCCGCTGCCAGGGTAACAACTACCTTCGATTCCTAGCAACAGATTCCTTGTGGACCTGCTGTCAGAGAAACTAAGGGATTAGCCAGAGTCCTCCCATTGGGGAGGTCACTACCCACTCCGGAGGGCTGATGGGTGTATTAATCCCCCCAGAGAGCGCTGTTGCTGGCAGCATATAATGTAGGCAGAAGAGCTGCTCATCAGCATTTCTAGGTTGTGAGGGACATAGCCCCACAGTCCTCACTTCATACTTCCTTACCACAGGGGAGTCTGTCTCCAGACAGTGACATATGGTGACGTGTTGGTAGCCTGGCTCTGTGGAAAATGATTCATAAGCCAATCACAGCACTCCTGTTGGTGAAATTCAAATCCCATCATCAAAGGACTCAGAGGTTCAGTGATACTTGGAGATCGTTCTATCTACAGGATTTTTAATAAGATAGCATATCTGAAAAGTCAAAGCACAAAAGGACATGTCGTTTCTACAACCACAGGTGCCCTTACACATGACAAATGTGTCCCATGTTTCCCCTGCCTCAACCAAATAAGAGGCTTGCAATAGCAATTGTCAGACCCCAAATGCACCCTCCCTCCCTAGGAGGTATCAAATGAGCAATGATTACATTTCTCCCAGCTACCGAACAACAAACACCATTTTCCTGCTTTCCTGGCTCCCTAAGGTGACTGCCACATCCTCTGAGACTCTCTCCTTGCCATAGAAGCATCCTGAAGCTGTCAAAGAACAAACAGTATACCAATATAGGGAATAATACTTAATACCTTCAGTCTTAAATTCTTAAGAGTTGAATGAAGAATACCTCGAATCAACCCCAGGCTGCCTCTATTTCTTTAGGATGAGTTATTGCTCAGCAGACTTCTCAGGCTGCTATGTAGATAGACTCCTGGAGGCCTTTCAAATTTAGGGGAGCCTGTGACATAGATGTCCCAGAATGGCCAAACATGGGATAAGCACAGGCGAGGAGCAAGTTGAGATCCCCCTACTTATTTACAACCATGAACACCATTCCCTCAAGGAAAATGACCCTCCCCCACAATGGAAGACAAAACTATCACTAAACGAGGGAGAAGATCTTCAGGTGGGGAAGAGCAAAGATTTCACCCTTGTCCATATTTATATACCCGAGAGTGTGCTGAGGAAAACCGGAGTCAGAAATCTCATAGCTTAAAAAACTCTTCCCTTAGATGACCTCTATACTAAGAACCAAGGTTTTTTGGTTGTCACACACATAGAATCTAGGAGATGTCTGACCTTGTCTCTCTTAATCACAATTGCCTCAACTGTGACTATCAAGGGATGTTAATTTTTGAGAATCTGATAAGAGCTATAGATCTTCTTCCCAGGAAAACAGACACAAGATTTCCACACACAATTTTGCATATAATTTGGGGAGAAGACGGTTCTAAACCTCATAAAATCCAGGCTAAGGACCTCTGAACTGGATGATTTCTGAGATTTTTTCTAACTCTAAAATGAGTTTATGGAAAGTCTGGTTAAACTTAATAGATTAAACACTCTCATTTTTCTTCACTCCCTCCTAAAAACTCACAAGAAAAATAACAAAAACAATGGAAACATAGAACTTGAGTCGCAGAGTTGGCACTCACTGCTGCTCCAACCTGAGTCTGGGCCTCTCGCCTTCCTCCCTGAACAACATGAGCTTCAGCACCTGCTCCAGCTTTTCCACAAACTGCTGGATGCTGGGCTCCATGTAGTCGCACAGCCAACGGCCAGCTAGCAGCACAGCCCATGTCTATGCAGGCACTGGGGGATTGGGCTCCTAGGTTTCCATGTCCCACTCCATCAGTGTGCAGGGCAGCTGGGGGTACAAGGGCCTGACTGGGAAATGCACAAGGGGGTCTGGCAGATTTAGGGGGTATCCAGAGCAAGAAGGAGACTGTGAAATGCCTGAATAACCACCTGGCCTCTTACCTGAAGAGGGTGAGAAACCTGGAGGCTGATAATCAGACTGGATAGCGAAATCTGGGAACACCTGGAGAAGAGACCCCAGGTCAGAGACTACGGGCATTATTTCAAGGCCATCAAGGACCTCAGGGCTCAGATCTTTTCAAGTTCTATGGATAATGCCCACATTATTCTTCAGATTGCTGCTGATGACTTTAGAATCAAGTATGAGATAGAGCTAGCCATGCATTAGACTGGAAGAGTGACATCAGTGGGCCCCTAAAGGTCACTGATGAAACTAATATCACTCAGCTGCACCTGGAGACAAAGATTGAGGCTCTCAAGGAGGAAATGCTCTTCAAGAAGAACCATGAGGAGGACTGATTCCAAAATGGCGGCAGAGTGAATGGAAGCTACATAGACCATCTCCCAGGACCAAACTGGAATTACAATGAAGATAAAGACAAATCATCAGGAAAAAGCAACAGAAAAGCAGCTTAGAGGACCATATAACTGGGGACACTGACTCGATCCTGGTAGGATTGCGGAGGCACGCGAAGGGGGCTGGGAGCCCACAGAGAGCAGAGGCCTTACCTGTGAGCAGTGCCCTCAGGGTTACACTCCCAAGCGGCTCCACAGCGCAGAGCCGAGAAAGAAGCTAAAATAGCCACAGCCACTCACCTTGGGCTCCGGCAGAGGGAATGCAGACTGGACTGGAACTGTGTGAGGACACTCGGGATTTGGAGGGCGCTCAGAGCTTTTGCTGAGTTGCAGCCACACAGGACAGTGCTCATCATACTCCTTTCAGGGATCTGGGGAGAGGTGGCAGCCCCACCCTCGAAGATTTAACCCCACCCAGTGGCCATTGAAATTCGAATTGAGGCTCATTAACAACTAGCATCTGCCCCACCCTCGGAAAATCCCCTAACCCTGAACACCCAAGAGAGTTTTTCATTCAACTGAGAAGCCAAGGCTCTTCAAGTAACTGTGACTAATAGCCTCCAGGCAAAAAGCTAGAAAATAACTGAACCATTCCTGGGCTCGCAATTCTGCCCAGGAAGGTAAGACTTGACAGTGGTGTTTAACGTGGTTCCTCCCATGCTCATCCAAACCCAATAGAGGGTGCCACAAACAGCAGAACACCAACACACACAGGAAACATTTGGCAGGCTCCAAAGTCCACTGGGATAGCCAAAATGGTAAAACAAAGAAACAAATGCCAAATAAAAGAACAAGAGACCTCTACCGAAGATGAAATAAATGAAGTGCAGTTAAGCAAGTTAACAGAACTAGAATTCAGAGCCAAGATCTTGGGGAAGCTCAAAGGCATGTGTAAGGACATGAGCACCATGAGTAAAGACATAGATATGTTGAACATCAACCAGTTGGAAATTAAAAACCACCAAGAAGAAATGAAAAATGACATATCAGAAATAAAGAACACATTGGAAGATCTAAACAACAGAGTAGTGGAAGCAGAGGACCAGAGAAGTGAATTAGAAGACAGGGTAAAAAAAATCAACCAATCAGAAAACCAAAAGGAAAAAACAATTAAAAAACAGGAAGACAGCTTAAGAGAACTGTGGCACAACTCGAAACATAATAATATTTGCATCATACAAGTCCCCAAAGAAGAAGAAAATGAGCAAGGGTTAGAGAATATATTTGAAGAAATAGTGACAGAAAACTTCCCTAATTTGGTGAAGGAAGAAGGCATTCAAGTTCAAGAAGCACAGAGAGTCCCAAGTAAGAAGAACCCAAACAGGCCCACACCAAGACACATAGTAATCATAGTAATCAAAATGCCAAAAATTAAACACAGAGAGAATCCTAAAAGCAGCAAGAGATAAGCAACAGGTTACCTACAAAGGAACCCCCTTAAGGCTGTCAGCTGAGTTCTCAACAGAAACACTAGAGGCCAGAAGGGAATGGCATGAGGTAATCAAGGTCATGAAAAACAAGATCTAAATCCAAGACTACTCTACCCACCAAGGCTATCATTCAAAAGAGAAGGTCAAATTGTTATAACTCAGTGCCATTGACCAAACTCCCAGAGGCCTTCAGACAACCAAAGGGGTTGTCAGTTTACTCTTTTACTGAAGAACATTCTTCACTAACTAATCCTTAAGTAATCGCTAGCCCTGGGGTAATAACTAACCCTTGAGTAATCCTGGGCGGCACCAGGGATAATCTATTGAAAACATCTTGACCTTTGAGATGTCTGGGAAACTGAGTAACAGGTAATTAACTAACTGCTAAATTCCGCTTCTGTAACATGCTTGCTTACACGTAGCAACCCCCTTACAAAATCCTATAAAAAGGAGCCATTTTAGCTCTCCGGGGCCGCAGTTACTCCTGTGTGGGACATACTGCAGGTGCCTGCGGACTTAGCTCAATAAACTCCTTTTATTAAACCCCATCTCGGCGTCTGAATTTGGTCGATCTCCTGGGTTACAACAAAATAAAGAGCTTCCCAGACAAAAAAAAAAAAAAAAAGGTTAAGGGAATATATTAGCACCAAACCAGCACTGCAAGAAATGTTAAAAGGACTGCTGTAATTAGCAGGAGAAATGGGAAGAAAAATATAACCACACAAAACAAAAATGGCAATAAATAAATACATATCAATAATCACCTTAAATGTAAATGGATCTAATGCCCCCGATAAAAAGACACAGAGTAGATGATTAGATAAGAAAGCATGACTCATCTAAATATTGTTTACAAGAGACCCATATCACAACAAAAGACTCACATGGGTAGAAAGTGAAAGGATGAAGAAAAATCTTCCAAGCAAATGGAAAGGAAAAAAAAGTTGGGGTAGCAATACTCATAACTGATAAAAATAGATTTCAAAATGAAGGCCATAACTAGAGACCAGAAGGCCACTACATAATATTGAAAGGATTTATCCAACAGGGAGATATAATCTTGGTAAACTTATATGCACCAAATATAGGAGGACCAAAATATATTTAAAATCTTCTGGAAGACTTCAAAGGAGAAATCGATAGCAATACAATCATAGCAGGGGACTTCAACACCCCGCTGACATCACTGGATAAATCCTCTAAATAAAAAAATTAGCAAGGAAACAAAGACTCTAAATGAAGCACTAGACCAAATGGATTTAATAGATATCTACAGAGAATTACACCCCAAAATAGAGAATTCACATTCTTCTCAAGTGCACACAGGACATTCTGAAAGATACAATACATTAGGACACAAACTAAGTCTCTACAAGTTCAAGAAGATTGAAATCATATCAAGCATCTTCTCAGATTACAATGGCATGAAACTAGAAATCAATTGCAATAAAAACACGCAAAGACATTTGAACACATGGAGGCTAAATAGCTTGTTATGAAACAACTAATGGGGTACCGAGGAGATCAAGGAAGAAATTAAAAACTT